AGTTTTAAAGAATTTTTTGTGTGTTTCACATTTTTAATAATATATAGTTTTATTATCTAATTAGGATACTACGATCATTGCATTTATGTTAATAATTAAAAATAATTTGAAAAGCAATTTTTAAAATTTGTTATAAGATTCATAAATAAAATTGACAAAGCTATGGGGCTTGCTAATGTTAGCGGTCATTTCAAGCTATGTATACTCGTAAACCTATTTATGTACAATACTATAATATACAATATAATTTTTAATACATTTCAAAGTGTTATTTTCCATTTCAATTTAATTTGATTTACATTTTTCATTCCACTATTCTTGTAGAATGCGAAATTTTGGATATAAAAATGTTTTTACTTCACAAAATTTCAACATAGTAACAAGAAACGTCTTAGCACTTTTTGTTTATAATGCAAAAATCCTGCGTTTTAAAACAAATTAACGTTATTATAATAAATCTAAAGTGCTGAAGCTGGGCTTGCTTAAATTCCTCACTATGCTATACCGGATCAATCGTTTTTTCAGTAGTTTTAGTTTAAAGACTGGTCTTAAATTCCGCTTGAATTTGTTTCTAAATAAATAAATTATAATATCAATTACCATTTTTTTACATATATATATGTTGAATCTTATCAAAAATATTTGCGAGCAAACTGTAGATATTCTGTTATTCTTTTTAGCTTGTTTTCTTACTGAATATACATTAGGGCAGGTAAAATTTTTTCTCTACTTTGTTTCACCGACTGACGTATTCTACTGGCAATTCATGGAAACGTAGCTTTTAAGGGGTTTCGAGTCTGCTTATTTTTAATTTTTATTTATTATCTAATTCATAACCAATTTATTTTTTTTTAACTTACTTCAGTTCAATTAAATTGATGCGATAAGCAACATATTTTTGCAAAATGGGTATCAAACTAAGGTGGCTTAAGAAAGATTTATTTTCAAACAAAATTTTGAAGGGTGCCGCCACCTGTTTAGAAAATTTAATTAAAAAATTTTAAATGTTTCAATATGGGTTTCAAAACTAACTGATTCGTTACTTCGCCACGACACGAAATTAATGCGGACAGTGATAAATTCTTTCCTTTGAAAAATTCGTCTAACTGCTCGTGCGCAAAATCCATATACACACATTTCTTAAAAAAAAATTACAAAATATATCTAAAAAAAACTAATTGATTAGGAATTAACGACTAAAATTAGAAATAAGGGGGCTCGAAATCTGTTTAAGAGCTAAGTTTCAATGGACTATTTTAGTCAGAATTGCCAATAGAATACTTCAGTCGCCGAAGCAAAGTCGGTTATGTTTGTTAAGAACAAATCGACCCGCCCTAGTGTACATATTTTGTTTTAGTATTGCTAGTATTATGTACATACAATGTATGTATTTTTTTCTTATCAAAAATTTACAATCATATTTCGATTAAATTTTGTTAATTTCATTTATATTGTCTTTACTTTCATCCAAAAATAAGTCATACTTATTTCAAATTGCTTGTTAATTTTTTTTTTCTTAAGTGCTACTTTAATAAACATAGCTTACTTTGGTTTTAAATTAACTATAATAAAACTTAAAAAAAAAAAATATTTCATATAAGAGCAAAGACACTGTAATCGAACAAAATGTAAGCGAAATTCTTTTCAACTATTCATCAGTGTGTCCTTGTAGTGAACAGCAATAACCGATTTGAAATAAATTTTTCAGTTTTCAACCGATGTTTGAAAATAAACATTCGTTTTACTCGCTATTGAATAGTCTTGTAGTAAATTCAGAGTTAGTAAAGCTGCTTCATAAAATAGTGTCAAAATGCATTGCCAAAGTTTAATCAAGAAGTACTTAATTCGAGAGGTCTAATGGTGATTTCGTTTCTACCAAAAAATGTCGCCTTTTAATTGCGCCTTACTCTTTTCGTTTTCAGTTATAAAATAAAGGCAAAGGGTGAGAAAATTTTGTGTTCGTTTCTTAAAATGTCACCCTATTGTAAGGCAAAAAAGCACATTCCTTGCGCTTTGAAGCTTTGTCAGGGGTGATGGTTGCCCTTAAAATCAGATAGTTGCTTAAAACGACAATTTTATGAATTACGTGAGCTAACGGAAACGGACAAGTAGGCAAAACGTGCCCTTTATAAGGTTGAGTGTAACATCTAACACATTTTACACCGGGAAATGGCCACATTTTTTGGCAGAAAAGAAATTACAATACGGTAACCGGTGAGAAAAGGAACAGCGGTTGTTAGGCGTTTTAAGGGCGCAAAGGTATGCAAATCAAGCTTTTGGAGGTGTTCGGCTGATTTCATATTTCGATTCTTGTTTTGCTCGATAAGATCTTTATGAAAACAGCACTTCACGGGTACTTTGGATTGTATAATTTGTTAAAAATCTGAATAAATAACTAATAATAAATTGAAATAATTCAAACAAAATAAACTTATACTTGGTGTTCATTTAATTTGTAAAGCTCATCTTTTTTTGTATACATATTTTTGTTTACTAAGTATTAACTCATTTTAATTTCCTTATATTTCTAAATAGGTAGTGACTAACAAATTAATTTGTGTTCTATTAGCTTTAAAGACAAGATTAACAATTGTCAATACATGAATAGGTTATATGTAGTATACAAATAATGTTAATGGCGCATAAAACCATAACAGCCATGATAAGATCACAAAACAGTACCTGTTCTTCGCCAAAGCGTAGTCTATAAGTTTTTACCAGTTGACACAATTCAGTAGAATGTTTTGGTGCGTTATTGTGTAATAATGTGCAAGTACGTGTGTATGCATGTGTTTGTGTGTGTATGTGTGCGTTAACATAATGCATATTTTTTATTTAAATATATTATTATTTTATTTTTTATAAATATAATAATTCCCGAAACCCATTTAAAAAAGGCAGCATGAAAGAGAAATTTATGAGATTAGCTATTTTTATGAAGCAATATACATACTTTTATAAGGAAGTGTGAAAGTAAGAAAAATGTTGGAAAAAATTGCATGTAAATAGTGCGAATATACATATACGCTCTGTAACTAAGTTCAGGTACATACATATCTATGAAAATAGGTTTACATAACTATTCAATGATGCATAGAAATTTTGAAATTAGAAAAAAATTAATTATTTCTGGAACGTAGCCTAACTGAAGTATGTACTACATAATTAAACAAGCACGTTAATTAATTTCCCTCTTCCCAACTCCTACAAACCATTGTATATTTTTATACTACATTCATTGGTTGTTAGTATTCTTTTTGTTTTTTTGTCTTTCTAATTTCACGAAATTTCGCAAAAACAAATTGCTTAAGGCAAAATTCGTTGTAGATAGTGAAAGAAACAAAAGATGTTCGTCGCAAGCAAATCGCTTACATTGCGCACACGTAAATGGAGCCAATTGGCCCAGCCATGGCGGTATGCAACTAGGCCGCGATAATAGTGATGATGCATGTAGTTGCTGCAGTTTGTGTTGTAGCATGTCAAAATATTGCACGAAAGCTGTCTGCAATTTGCAGCCAAACAACGCCAACTATGCAAATCGGCGCAACTGCGCGTGAAGCGCAACAACGTTGCACATGCAAATGCAACAAGCCGTTGCAAGGTGCTATCGATGCGACTAAGGCACGATCGCCAGCCATCATAGTCAACAGCTACACCAACACCAACACCGATGCCGCTTTGGCTACTTGGCGCTGTGATGCCGTTTAGGCAACCGATTACAATGCCACCGAAGTTGTCTTTGAAATGTTGCAATTTGCGGTGAATTATAGTGAAGAAGCGCCGTGCAGCTGCTGGAAAGGATGCGATTAGTATCTGACTGGAGGCAAAATGTTTTGTGGGTATTTTAGTTTTAAGATAATTGAAGTATTGTAAAGCTTTTCGCTTGCAATAACAAGCGAGTCGGAATAGTAGTGGGTTTTCGTGGTGTTGCATAGAGACGCTGTTGGGAGGAAATTCAGTAATAAATTTAGTTAAAGAAAATAAATTTGAGTTGTACTTAAGAACTAAGAATAAATTAAATAAAGAGAGATTAATTAAAATCGGTTTTGATATTTTTACAAATGGTATTAGAATAAACCTTACCTTGACAATCCCTCCGGACCATATGAATAAGGTCGTGTCTGTTGGCATATCAAAAAACACGGATGAAAAGAATTAACCAATAAAGATGAGATTTCATGAGAGTTTATTAAAAAAAAAAATTTAAAAAATAATTTCTTTTTATACCTATTGGATACATACCCTATCTGTTTGTGTTGCTGTATTTATGCATTCCTTTGTGGTGTCACTACTGATTTCCGGCCTTTTCAACTCCAAACATTCAATTTTATTTTTTTGTAAACGTATTGTGCGTTCACGATCTTCGACCTCACCCTAGTGTTGTTGCGTGATTGAAATTTTATACAAAAATATTTTAGAACTTCAGATAAGAAAACGTAGATATTTGTTAAGCTAATATTAAGAAAAAAAAACAATCATAACATAGTTTCAAAGTAAAAATTAGGCAAATAGTTACTGATGTGAATTATGTGAGTGAGATTGTTCGTACGGTTGTGTAAAAGGAGATTTTTTAATTGGTTTAAAAAAAAAATTAAGTTTTTTCCTCCTAACATCGGAAGCATTGGCAAAAATGCAGCTTGTGCCTAGGTTGTTAGGGGAAATCCCATACTGACAGCGGCACTTATCAGATACAAGGAGATTTCCTTAATCTGCTACAAAGTTTCTTGATTTATATATCTTTGAAGCCAGGCACCTATACCATATACATAACTATAAGTATGTGTGACATCCCTGTTTTCCAGCCCAGATTCTATGGGCTTTCTTTGCAACTTTGTTGATTGCCATTGGTTTCGGTATGTATCTTGTGAACTAGTGGAATTTTCTACAACTCGGTATCGCGCTAGTTAGCTAATGCGTTTTTGAACCGAATTCTGAGATAGGGCTTTGTTCAATCAAATTCTGTGGTAGGGCGTTTTTCAACCAAATTCTGAAATAGGGCGTTCTTGAAAAGTTTTCTGAGACAGGGCGTTTTCGAACTGGCTGCCAAGATAGGTCGATCGTCTGCTCAGGTGTCGATATGAAAATATCATTTCGTATTTCCATACTAAAGTCATCCATTTCACATAAGAAAAGCGTAACACACAAAAATATCTCTTAAACTCCAGTCGCTTACCAACTATTAATCAGGAGCAACTTACACAATCCATCATAAGCAGCAACTTACTGACNCGCTCAGGTGTCGATATGTAAATAGCATTACGTATTTCCATACTAAAGTCATCCATTTCCATAAGAAAAGCGTAACACACAAAAATATCTCTTAAACTCCAGTCGCTTACCAACTATTAATCAGGAGCAACTTACACAATCCATCATAAGCAGCAACTTACTGACTAATTATTAGTTGTAGAATTAACTTCATACTCTAATTTTTCTTCTCTTTCATCTCTTGCTTATAGTGATACCTTGCTATGCAAATAACTAAAATTCGAAACATATCCCATACAAAATGTATGAAAATATTAGGTGATACGAACGTAGAACTACTTTGCCTTTAAGAACTTCGGTACTCAAACCATGAAAAAGTCACCTTTATCATAAAATAAGTTTTATTAAAGGGTACGGTGTTCAAAAATATTAGCACAAGGCTATCATGAAATTTTATGATCGTAAGTAGTAATTTGGTTGTCAAGATATTCACAATTCGTACCACCTTTTTTTGTATTTACATAAGGGTTAAAGTTGAGATTTGTGTCTTATTCACAATGCTGTATGTGGGCTGCTTTGAATTCCAATATGGTGGCTACATAAATAGTAACTCCCTTCAAAACAGTGGCCGGATATGAAATCGGATTCCAAACAGGCACCGTTTTGTAGAAAAGTGTTGAACACTCTTTCTACCCGGCTAATAGACAATAATTAAAAGAAATGTTCGTACAGTTTTGTAAGTAAAATTGTGGTTTGTTTTTATAAATGCAATATTTAAATCAGTTTGTAATGAACTTTGCTGTCTAACTCCTGAATGATTCCCTTTATAAGGTTGTTACATCCTTGCCTAAAATATGTTTTCAAGGACTTTCTCACTTGGGTGTTTCACTTTTACAGCTAACGCAGACACTTTTGTAGGTAACCCCGCAAAGTTGTTGCAGACCAGTGGTTTTCTTAGCGTTGATAACTAACTCTTCCTTAAGAGAGTATGTTTGTCTGGAGCCAAGACTTTGCATGTTAGATGCTGTTCATTGTTGAAATAATCTGCAGATGCCATTATATTTATTAAAGATTATTTAAACCTAAAACATGAGAAGGAATTCAATAGCATCTCATTCAGATTTATCCAAGAGGTTTCCTAAAGGATACTAAACTCACAGGAATTTGTCCAACATTAATCACATTACCAGTAGCTTCTCAAAAAAATTCTCCTCTCCTTCACTGCACATCGAATACTTTTGCCACTGCATTCCGATAAAACTACGAATACATATTGCTCCATGTCTATGTAAATACGATAATGACCAGGCGTATTTGGTGCGTTAGTTTAAGGCATATACGAGTAAGTGTAAAAACATTTATTTACATGCTTTTTATGCAATTAAAAATTAGGTACAAGTATATATATGTTTTTACAAAAATAGATTACTAAAAGTGTAATTATGTTTTTTTACAGAAAAACGAATGGAATTCAAAATCTCAAAAAAACAAAAGAAATTAATTTAAGGAACTGAACATGACAGGAATCTGTTTAAACGCTATCTTGTCGCACGTACATACATATGTACATTTGTAAAAATTACCTTAGTTTTAATTAAATTATTGCAGTTAATGTATTGGAAGTCTTTATTTGGGCTATGTGAAAATGTTAAACTTTTACGGGAACTGACTAAAAGGATCTTAATCAGAAAGTTTTATAAAGTTTGTTTTTTTTTATTCAACTTTTTTAGCAACATGGTAAGTATGTATGCCTTCACATAGAAATAACGTAAACAGAAAATACTCATTGTGTTGCCGTCTCTCAAAAGAAAGGTATTTAGACATTTAAGAAGAACTTAAATTGAAAGCATAGTCTCCCATTTTATCATTGTCAGATTAAATCAGAACATAACAACGGAAACGAATTAAAACGTGCAAATACCTGAAGGTAAACCACCTGTCTTCGTAGATCGGCTAACTCCACCATAGGGTCATCTGTGTTGGATGATGTTAAGCTGGCCAAGTCCATGTCATCCAGCAGTTTGCTATCTAAGCCACAGGCAGCGAAGAGTTGCCCATTGTCGGTGTCGAATGGGTTGAGAGTATCCGTCTAAATAAAGAAAGGCAATGCATTTATATATCATTTAGTTAAGTTAGTTAGTTAAGTAATTGTAAATATCTATGTATATGTAAACATATTTAAAACAGAAGAGTTCTATAAGTTTTAAGTGGGTGAAGAATAAACAAGTGATAACGAATAGTGTTAGGATGAGTTGATGGGTATCATATTTACTACCAGGTAAATTAAGACTTATTTGTGTATGTACTAGTAATAACCAAGACTTAATTTATATTTCTTATTTTTAGAGAGTCTATTACAAATCGTGACCTTAGCAGAATAATATGCTGGGATTTAACATATACGCACCACATTCAGGCACATCCAACAATCCGTTGATTGTGTGCTATTTTCGTGAGTTTGCAAAGGCTTTCTTTCAATGACAACCCGCAGTGCGGATTTCATTAATGGCACGAAATATCGGTCACTATTACATACGTCTATAAATGTAATGGAAATGTCTATTTATAAATGTGAGGCAAGAAACAAAACGAGCACTCATACATAGAATCTGTCATAAAATTACATAAAAAGTATTTTAAATGCAATATCATATGTATGTGAATAAGAATTGTAATGGGATTTTTTCTAAAGCCTAGCTTATAGCTACAAAAAAACTCGGTAGTCGAGCTACATACTTGAGAAAATGGAATCAAGAATTAAAAAAAATTCTCGCAAAGTACCAATGTGGGATTTGACCAAGAAACTCAACAACAAATCGAGTTTTCGCTATTAAACAGTCCATGAAAAAGTGTTGTGAGCATAATATTCATTTAAAAATGCTTTTTATTGATTTAAAGCAACCTGGAGCTGCTAATAATAATAAACGATTGGCGCTTGCATATATGTTAGTGTTTGGCCGAGCTTCTCCTCCGATTTGTGGCGTGCGCCTTGATGTTGTGTCACAAAGTGGGTCCCCTACAGTTTTACGCCGACTCCGAACGGCGATTGTATTTTTATAAGAAGCTTCATGGCAGAAATACACTCGAAGGTTTGCCATTGACTACCGAGGGACAACCGCCGTTAAGAAAAAACCTTTATATATATATATATGTTTTGATGTTGCTTTGACCAGGGCTTGAACCCAGGCGCAGCGGAGTGGAAGCGCGCATTGCTTACCACTACATCACAGTGGCCGAGCAGCTAATAGAAGGCAAAAATATAATTCCATTCATCAAAGCACATTAAACAAGATGGCAAGGACTCATAGTAAGGATGAAATCTACGAGAGCACAAAAGAAAGTTGTAGACGCTAAGGCTTTCACAACTAAAGCAAAGGGTATACGACGATCAAGATGGTCGGACGAGCTGGAAGAGGATATGAAAAGTGTGAAGATGAGGAACTGAAGAAGGGTAGCGAGCGTTCGAGTCCAATGTGCAGCAGGCTGAGGCTCACTAAGAGTTATAGCCCCAAAAAATTATAATGATCATGGTGACCGCCAGTCAATACAAGAGCTCTGGTACTCGATTTCAAAAAATATCGTTTTAAAACTATGGAGTAAAAAGTATCGGTATCGAATGCCAAAATTATCGATATGGTATCGTATCGTACGAAAATTCGTGTCCCTATGCATACGTTTTTACCAAGTCATATTTTGTGAGTGGTGCTTTTAAAAAAGAATCATCTTTAAAACTACCCAGGCTTAGATTTGAATACGCTCAAAGACTACATACTAACTATAAACATGGATAATTTTTACAGGTGAACATCTGTCACCTCTGAATTTTTTTATTTTTATTTCAAGCAATTTTTTTCTTACATTTTCACAAAAAAGTTCTTCCATAATCGACCTATTTACAATACAAACTCAATGCCATGATACAATAACTTTTAGATGGTAGTTTCACTTCAAAAATTTCTGACATAAACCGTTATTGTTAACAAACGCACAATGTTGCCACTGTAACGATATTGAACTAGGTTTTCATTTATTATTTTATGTACCATGTATTTTATTTTTACTCAGCAATGCACGACCGTTTCGCACAAACAAATTTGCGCTTGAGAACTTAACGGAACACAATATAAACTCAATTTATAATGAAAATTATTTGAAATGTTTTGAAAATTTTCATACTTTCTTTGCTTAATTTTACCAACGGCAAAAAGGTAGATTTTTTGTTTAATAAATTGGTACCACAAAAAATACGAACACGATCTCTGTCAGATAGCTAACAAGGCGTCTAAGAAGAATAAGAAGAAGAGGATGTGAAACTACCTTCAAAAAGTCATTGCATCCTGCTCAATATGTCAAGCAAAAGGAGTTTACAGCAAACATTTCGATCAAGCGTACTATGTAACAGGAATTAGTTTATGAACGTACCCTCATCAAATGATCTTCGTCCTTTTGATTTATTCATGAAATGTCAAAAGTGTATGTATGGATTTCGAAATCAAAATGCGGTGCAGAATTTTAAATGAAAACCAGCGGCGTGGTAAAACCAAATTTTTTTACATGCAAATAGAAAAGACAAAACCAAATTTAATGTTCAAAAAGTTATATCGCTAGCTTAGAGAGCAAAGTTGCTAAGCCCACTCTTTTATTTTACGGAAGAGGAAAAAACTTCTTATAGCCATTTCCTAGAAAAACTCCACACGAATAAGAAGGATTCGCTCCTTATTAAAAGATTTTGTATTATTTCGGATTTTGTCGGATTTTCGGTGCCTCTTTTGGACTTAGAAAATTTTCTTTTCATTGAATATAAGCGAGAAAAAATAAAACAAGTGCCTTTCGAAACGATGCATTTTTAATATCCTTGCTTCCTATATCAAAATATGAGTTTTCGTAAAAAGTGGACCTAGCAAATTTTCACTCTAGGCTAGCGAATGATGTTTTACACATATACAAGTGTAATATGAATACAAAAATCTTATGTACATACAAAAGGGTAAACAAACTAATAAATTTTGCAATATCACTGAAAATAATTCAGTCCAAAAAACTAATCACAAAATACCTGTAGATTTTAGTCACACGTAGAAATAAGAAACGGGCAATTATATTTAAATGAATAGTTTAAAAATATGTACTAAAAAAATAATACAGTCTAAAATCGGACGAACCGAATCATTAAATACCCGAGGTACCTATTAAATATAGTTTTTCACCGTTACATGGTAAGCAGAGTGGTTTTACCCCTATTTCTAACAATTTCGATAGTATGTTCAGTTATATTTAATGAGATAAATTTATGTAGGTACAAGTGGGCGGTACCACGCCGATTTTCTAAAATTCTGTAATAATGTTATTTGTTTTTAAAGGATTGTTGTGAGCAAATTAGTGTACTTAAATTTCGAAATATCTAAGTTTCAAGCATTTCTTAAATTTACCGTTATATAAAAAGTAGGTTTAATTTTAGTCCGATTTCAATAATTTTCAAGGTTTTGCTTTTATGTGGCAAGTACAATAATTATACCGAGTTTGATACAAATTTATCGAACGGTTACCGAGATACACATATCGAACACCGTCTTCAAAAGAGACATAACTCAAAGTTACCCGTTTTGAGTTGTATCACTTTTGAAGATCGTATGCGATATGTAGTCCGATATGTAGTCCGTACCACGCCCGTTTTAAAAAAATTTGTTATTAACTTTTTTTTTGCTAAATAGTTATTACAAACATAAATTTTGAATAAATTAGCGTCAGTATACTATACTCATTTATCGAAGATTTCGTACTTCCCCAAATAACCGTTTTATGGGATGTGGGCTTGGTTATTGGTCGATTTTAAAAATCTCAGTCATTTGGTATGAAATAATACTGATAAGCTACCATCATAAATGTAGAAACAAAAGGTCAGGCCAACCCAAAAAAATATGTAAGTGTATTGGGGCGGGTAAATTTTTTCGACTATTCGCGTGTAGGATATTTAGCAGGATTCTTGCCAAATTGCGAAAATAGGTTTTGAAGAAATTGTGAACATTACAAAAATACATTTTGTACTTAGCATTAATGAGCTTTAGTTGATCATATTTACTAAATTTTAAACACCTTGCGTGTAATTTTGCTCTACGCGACAAATCTGGTATGCAAAAGTAAAAAGGCAGTGTTTAATTTTATCACATGGTGTGTAAATTTGCACACATTAGGAGAGGAAAATGGTTACCTCTCTTTTTATGCAAAAATTTAAACAACATTTTTTTAGAGCAATTTAATAAATCAAATAAATTTTAAACATTTTATGTGTAAACTGTAAAAATTTGAACGTTGAGTGTTTAGAATTCAACAAACAAATTTGGAATTTGTTCTACGCCTCACATATGGCAAGTAAAAGTAAACAAGCAGTGTTTAATTGAATTAACATGGTGTGCAAAATTGCATTTATTAAGGGAGGAAACTGGTTGCCTCTCTTAATATGCGCAAATTTTAGCAATTTTTTTAGAGTCTACAGCAAAATGCTAAGAAACTTATTTTCACAATTTGGCAGCTCCAAATTGATTTCAGACTATTGGTTTCTTTAGAAAATTTGCTTAGAATTGCACGTGGAATCCTTCTGTGCTATACGCACATAGTCGAAAAAATCTCCCATACAAATGTGTATACTGATTTGCTACTTTCTGAGAAAATCTAAAAATGTAGTTTTCATTGTCTCTACTGTTCATCCTACGTTCAAATAACTAATGAACAATATAGATGTAGGTTTATTATAAGTTTTTCCTTCTTCTAAAGATGCCGAAGCGATACCACGAACTCTTAAAGTGAGGAATATTGCATTCTAAGTTGTTCACAAGTCATTTTTTATTAATCATATTGGGAAACAACGCGGTTGACCTGCCCATATATGTATATACATATTCATATTCGTACTCATATATGTATGTATATAAATAAATAGGTATTTCCATATACATATATATACATAAGTACGTAGACATCTTTCAAATAACATAAACACCCACCTCCTGTAGAATGCGTCGTAGCCGCAACAGCTGCTTCTTAAATTGCAGCACGTCCTGAATCATTGCATTGCGAAATGATTTATCATACAGCATTAGGTCGTCCGATGAACTGTGCGAATCGCGATAAAGTTGCGAGTAATGATGTTGAAAGTGCTTTTGATGATGGAAATTACTACTGGTCGGTTGTGAAGCATTCGTCGAAGACGTGGAAGCGTTTGATGCGCGCGAGGCGGCAGCACTACGTCGCAGGCTATGTGTTGATTTGGAGCTATCAGAATCTGCGCCGCCGCCAGATGTTCCAGCAGCACCAGCATTCGCCGATAGACCACTGGCATTAGCAGCAGGGTACTGTTGTTGTTGTAGACGCGAGCGGTTAAGTAGACGTGTTGCACGAGCAGGCAAATGAGCGCTAAAATGAGCAAAAGAAATAAAGAGCTGTTTAGTTTATAGGAAACAGAGTTAAATTTAGTTAACTAGAAAAATAAAGACTTAATTTTAAGGAGCTCTACTATATTCATTCTCAAACTAAAAAGGCAGTTCGTACAATCATATTTTACTTCTACAAATTCTAATATTTCTTCTCTGTCACTTCGCTTGCACCTCAGATATGTGGCGTTCGCGTGCGGCGCACTAGTTGACAACACCGTTGCAGCTGCACAGTGACACCAACAATTGCACGATGCAGCACGTAACGTTGACGTCGACTTGTTTGCTGTTATTGCTCTTGGCATTGCAACAGCAACAGTTGGGGAAGTTCGCCTTGAACTTTGTTGCTTATGCGGATGGGTGGCGTGAGGCAGGTATGATTTATATACGCCGTGCGGAGAGTATGACGCACGCGAAGGTGTGTGAGGGGTAGTACTTTGTGTTGCATACTGTATGTACTGTTGTGTACTGCCACATGTGGCATGCTTTATTGTGATTGGTGACGAAGTACGGGGTGCGGGCGGCGGTCTGGCAGCCGTCAAAAAAATATTCTCTGATGTTTTCAAATCGGTACGAACGCGTCTTGCACCAATCGGTGATTGCTGTAAGTGCTTTTGTTGTTGCTGTTGCTGTTGCTGTTGCTGTGTGTCTTGTTGGTTCGATGCCATTGTCGTTTTGATTTGCAACAACAACAACAGCGACACAATCTAGAATGTTGCAACAGCATTTGTATATTGACCAAAGGCACTGATTTTGATTTGATCTATGTACGTATAAACGATTTAATATTTTTTTGTGTCTAATTTTGCGTGGGTTAAGTGCTTAGTAACAGTTAAATATTTCAGAAAATTTCGATGTTCCACTAGTTGTGTAAAAAACGTGTCACCATGGCAAAGTAGAAAATGTCAGACTGACGTTTGCGTGCATAATCCTTCTTCATGCATTGGTATTGTTTTTTTTTTGTTATTTACATAGTATGACACAATCCGCACATGCGCATTGTAACAACTTCCCAGCAAGAAATATTTAGCGATAAAGAAAACTGGATCTACGTAGTCCATCGTGTACGAAATTGTTTGGCCATAAAGCGGGACACACATAAGTAATTATATACTTACATATAGCATTTTTGAGAAACGAATTAATTAAGTTTCGAATTCTAAGTGAAATACTGATTGCATGCAAATGATTTTTAAACTAATAGCCTGCAAGCTAAAAATCTATTAACTTTCTTACAGGGCCGTCATTAACTATATGAAAAATTATATATAGTTCTGTCACTCTTATTTCCAAGAGAAAGGGGGTTGGGTTTTTGTTATTAATATTAACGTACATGCATACCGTCCTATATTTATCATGTGATAACAATTCATTTGAAAGTAAAAATAAAATGTTATTGTTATTGAAATAATTACATTTTAATAAACTTTTGTATATTTTTAACTAGGTTTCGTGTAACGCAGCCATTTTCGTTTGAGAAGTTGAAAAGGGGAAGCAATTTTTTTTTTTACCATGCCACCTAAAATAAAGTATCTTTCAATTCATGATGTCATTTGGTTTCCTTGACTCTTTTTCAGGATAATAATGATGTATGTATATCTGGCATAAATACTCGATTCCAACAACTGAAATAGTCAGCTAAAGACGTTGTCAGATAAGAATAGGTGACTTTATTTTTAAATGCTGAGCTCAAACAAAAAATAAAAGCTCCCGAATCGAAATACCATTGCTTCTGTTGCTTTTGGGCGTCTGCGACTTCTCAGAATTGACGAGTCAAAAGCTTTTACAAATTGGAGAAAATTGTTTAGCAAATTATTTTATTTCACACTTTCAAGATTTTCCGGTTTTGATCGCAACGTTAGCTTCAATAGAATTGAAGTGGTTTATTTACATATGAGTATTTACAAATAGGCCTATAGGCCCTTATATATGTAAATAAATAATTAACAATTCCAATAGATTTAATTGGCAATAAGTCTTTCATTCAATATTTATCTAATAACATAAAGTTTCTACTGCGCAAACACAAATTTGAGATTATACACATACGTATATAACTTATTATTGATACAAATTCCTAGACAACAGCTCTTTATGATTGCCAAATGTAAAAATGTACAAATCGTGTCATCCCTGCTGAAATCTCAGAAATTGTTTATGACTTTTGCTAACATTTTAAAATGAAAACTTATCAAAACATGTTACGTTTCCAAAAGGCTGTCAAATTGAGAAATTTAAGAAAGCAAGTGTCACACCTTGCATGTAAATTGTCTTTCGAAAGAGGGCTTCTATTTCCGAAAAGCGAATTGCTGGGACAATCTGTGAAAACTTTTTTTTTGGCTTTTCCCACCGCGGTTGAATTTCTTGCAATCTTTCTCGATACTAAAATGGAACCGTGGGCCGCCTTGCCGTCGGTTTGCACTTGTGCACAAGGGTGTTATAACTTTGTTCACATAACGGTTGTTAGTAACAGTCTAAAGGAATACAGGTAGATGTATCTCTGTGTGCCAAATACGGTATGACGCAAAAAGGCCAAAAAGCTCTTCTGAGTAGCTTTTCAATAGAATTTTTGAAAAGAAACAAAAGTTCTGGATATTTTAACAAATAAAAATTGCTTCAAAAATTGTGTATGCCAGATTCACGCAGCATGCGACGTGTGGCAAAAACGCAAATAAAAATTGTTCTGAGGAGCTTTTAAATAGTTTTAGAGGTCCTGAAAAAGAAAAAAAAAGTTTTGCAAAATTACGCAGAAATTAAAAAAAAAATGCTCAGAATTAAATTTTCGAAAAAAAATAAAAATTAAATCTGTTCTGACTACCTTTTCAATAGTTCTAGAGTTCCTGAAAAGGAAAAAAAGTTCTGCAAAATTACGCCGAAAAAGCACTTTTTTCGAAAAAGTCGAAAAAGTTAAATTTTTGAAAAAAAATTAAAACTGTGCTGAGTAGCTTCAACAGTTGTAGAGTTCCTGAAAAGGAAAACAAAGTTCTGCAAAATTACGCCGAGAAGCATTTTTTTCAAAAGTCGAAAAGAAAGTTATGCAAAATTACGCCAAAATAAATTTGTTTTAAGCGAAATAGTTAAATGAAAAAAAAAAAATAAAAATTAAAGCTGTTCTCAGTAGCTCTGCAATAGTTTTAGCACCAGAGAAGGAAAAAGAAATGACGAAATAACACTAAAGAAGCCAAAAAAGTTAAATAATAGTTTGACAGCTCTGGAGTTCCTAAAAAGTAAAAGAAAGTTCTGCAAAATTACGCCAAAAAATATTTGTTTTAAGTCGAAAAAGTTAAATGTAAAATGCGCTGCAATAGTTTTAGAGCACCTGAGAAGGAAAATGAAAGTTATGCAAAATTACGACCAAAAAACATTAAAAAAGACGAGAAAGTTATATAAATAAAAAAATTAAAACTTTTATGAGCAGCTGTTCAATAGTTCTGGAGTTCCTAAAAAGTAAAATAAAGTTCTGCAAAAAAAAAGTTTTACATGAATATTTATTTCAATATTGCTGTTTAGCTTTGTACCACGATTATGTTCTTTAGAGAAAATGAAAAAAAAAACAAAGTCTTAGCGGTAGAAGTTATAGCTATTTCGGAGATCACTACATCTCCTCATCAGACTTCTTTTTCTAGACTTCAGCAGTAATCGAACCCACATCATCGATGTGCAAAGTCAGAAGCGCTAAACCCTAAGCCGGCACACCTGTAAACTCTTCCCGGTGGGAAAATGTAATGTATTGTAATCGAACAAATAATAAGTAAGACAGCCGTTTTCACATCCGAAAATGCATTATTTTTAACACGCCGATGTCCTAAGAAAAGTGGAGCATTCAGTTTTTCAACTCTCAATCAATTCAATCTCGAATGCGGCTAAGTGAGAGCTCAGTGTTTGTTCAGAACTGCGAACCAAAATGCTTCCATCTTAGCCTCGCGAAGGATCGACAGACTAGAAGAGAGTGTTGAGATAATTCCACTCTATCGTGCTCTTGACAGCTGATAAAGGGCTCCCTGAACTCATTTGGGCAAGAGACCTCACCCTACAGCAGTACAAGGCAACCGACACCTTTCTTACCCTTTCCTTAGTGTTAGGCTTCCACGATAGCCGCTGTTGATCGCTCACCTATTTATTTGGTTCAGGTAACCTTGAGTCACATCAAAGATTATGTCTAGAAATCGTCACTTAACCAAATATTCCACATCATCTAAATAGGCAATCAACCGAAAGCCCATTTGTTCCAGTTTCTCTCGAAGGTCGTTTACAACCGCAATTCAGAGCAGGGGACAGAGAACACCACCTTTGGAGTGCTCCTAATGACTCTGCACTGAGTGCAGGCGCTCCCCCACTCCGCCGCGACAGTTCTGTCACGAAATAATCTGTAGATAATCCTTATTAGGTTGGTTTCAACTCCCAGATTATGAATACACTTGACTATTTCTTCTGGAGTGACATTGTTGAAGGCCCCCTTGTTACTGATAAAAGGCCCCTACTGCATAATCTTTATGCGTGAAGGGTTCCTCTGACCACTTTAACAATGTGTGCAGGGCGGTATTCACCGATGATCGGATAAGTACAAGACCTGGGGGGTCCTGACATTACACACAATCACCCTGTTTCCATGCCAATGGCTAAGCCCACGTAATGTGTCTTAAAAGAAACTTTGTATAGCAAATAATTTTACTGTACTGCAAAGTTTGTACGAAAATCTGATAAAACAAGAAAGTGAGTTGTTATAAACGTGGTAATGAAAGGTAACTAAACGTTCAAAATGTATTTCGGTGTCGGACCGGGCTTACAACAATGTTTTGCATAGATTTTCCAAGAATACCGCAAGATTACCAACATGCATACTTACAACGTTTTTTATCCGAGTCGTCCCTACGGAACAAACTTAGTGAAGTATCACGACTTTAAATAGGGCAAGTTTTGAATTTTAGAACCTGCGTTCATTATTTTTTTAAAGGGTGGAAGAAGCCAAAAAAATTCACGTTC